CTATGTTTCCCTTCCCTCCTCCTCCTCCTCCTCCTTCTCTTCCTCCTCCTCCTCCTCTTCCTCCTTCTCCTCCTCCTCTTCCTCCTCCTCCTCCTCCTCCTCCTCCTCCTCCTCCTCCTCCTCTTCCTCCTCCTCTTCCACCACCACCACCCACCCCTGCTCCTTAGCGTTTCAAATTCGTCACTCCAACGCTCCTTCATCAGCTTCAGTACTAGTAAGACGTGAGATGGCCTTGCGCTTCAAGCGAACATCGTCTGCTGTCTTGCCCATATACTCCAGAGCTTCATGGCTGGCATCAGGCCTTTTGCTCGCCTTCTTCCTTCTCGTCCATACATTTCAATTAACGAATGCGCAGCTGGAACCAGCCCCTGTGTTTCCACCGCCTCAGACCCGCCCTCTTCCCAAAGTCCATCTCAGCGAGCAGGAACGCGTCCTCCTCCGCGACGAATCGCGGGAGATGTTTTATCACGCCTTCAACAGCTATATGGCGCACGCCTACCCTTTCGATGAGCTGATGCCGCTCTCCTGCAAAGGTACAGCACGGAAGGCGGGGGGAGAGGACGAGGATTACCATGTGTCTTGGTTGGTTATATCTTCGTTCTGTGTGCGAACCTCTCCCTTTCCCTTTCCCCTTCCCCCGCGTGGACACCCCCTCCCTGCCTCCTCCCCGGCCTCCTTCCTCCAGGTCGGGATTGGAGAAAGCGAGATCGCGGCACACTGGACGATCCGCTAGGGGGGTATGCGCTGACCCTGGTGGACTCCTTGGACATGCTGGCCGTGATAGGCGACTATCTCGAGTAGGAAGGGAGGGAGGGAGAGAGGGAGGGAAGGGAGGAGAAATTATAGAGGATATGCTGAGGCGGGGAGGGGTCGCTTAAAAAATGGCTTGTGGTGAAGGCCACCTTCTTTCATTTAGGAGGCTGGGTGCACTCTTTTGGATCGACACCTCCCTCCCTCCCTCCCTCCCTCCCTCCCTCCCTCCCTCCCCCGTGCAACATCTCGTCTGGCCTTTCAGGAAGCCTTGAGGAAGTCCCGAACCCCCACCCCACTCCCTCAAGCCCTCCCCTCTCTCTCTTCCCCCCTCCAGTTTCTACCAGGCGGTCCAGGAAGTCATCCGCACCCTCCGCTTCGACCGGAACGTCACCGTCAGTGTCTTCGAAGCGACCATCCGGGTCCTCGGAGGCCTCCTCTCCGCCCACTCCATCTTGCTCTCGGAGGAGATGGCGCCCGTGTTTCGGTCGGGAGGGAGGGGAGGACGGCCGGGGGGGGGGGTCTTGGGTTTAATGGGAAGAGGTTCCCACGTTGGGGAGAGTATTGCCTGTAACGCCTGTCCAGGCTATTTTTATTCTTTATTTGTGGACTTCTACTTTTGGGTGTGCGGTGGATTCAATTCTTGCTTCTTGTAAGACGAGTGCTCTTTCCCTGTCACCTCTGAACAAGCTGGCTCCTAAGCCCCTGTCTGCGACCATTACTTCCCTCCACGTCCCTAGGCTCGCGCCCCCCTTCCACTGTCCATGGGACTCACGCTCCCGCATGCCCACCTTCCCTCCCTTCCTCCCCCTCCCCGCAGCAATGCGACCCCGCCTTACCAAGGGGAACTCTTGCGCCTCGCCTACGACCTGGGCCAACGCCTTCTTCCTGCTTTTGAGACGCAGACGGGTAGATTTCCTCCCTCCCTCCCTCCCTCCCATCCGATTCCCTCCCCCTCCAATGTCCTCCCTACTTCCTTCCCTACTGTCTTTCCTGTCCGCTCTCTTCCCTCTTTCCCAAGCAACCCACCCCACTCACGGGTGCACTGGCCCCTCCCTCCCCCCCTCCCTCCCTTCCCTCCCCCCCCTCCCTCCCCCTCCTTCCCAGGCATTCCCATCCACCGAGTCAACCTGGAGCACGGGGTGCCTCGGGGGGAAACGAGGGAGACTTGTACCGCTGCAGCCGGCACCCTCCTACTGGAATTCGGCCTCCTCTCCCGCCTGACTGGCGACCACAGGTAACCCTCAACCCTCCCCCGCCCCTCCCTTCCGCCCTCCCTCCCTCCCTCCCTCGATACGCACCCGTGTTTTTTGTCGTGTGAGGCCCCGGTCCTCTACTCCTTCCCGTCCTCCCCTCCTCCCTCCTGTCCACTCCCCTTCCTTCCCACGCGCGACCGGCATGCAGATTTTATCCTCTTGGCCCAACCCCTTCATCCCTCCCTC